TCTTTGTCTGCAAAAGCGGTGTGTGGAAACGACTCGTCCTGCTCATTGAGCTCTAAACAACGCACTATTCGGGATTCGTCATGTATGTCTATTTGTCCGTTACGACCAACTCGTCTAGCAGAAGTATTTATGAGTTCAATCACCCATGCTGGAGCGGTTGCAATATCAGTGGTCCTCTTCGGTGTGACATTCCATTTGTATTCTTTTCCATCGCCAAGCGAGCTCGGTGGAGCAAACGCAATTCCCCCTTCACCACGACCATCAATTCCATAGACTTGACCATTCACATCTACACCCACAAAGTTCTTACCGGACTTGAGACCATCTTTGAGGATGCTCGAAAACGAGAAGTAGTAATGAAATCCGCCACTAGGAGTAGTTGCTTTTAACGTGTTTGGCTCTCCATGTTTGTCAATCAAGCTCTTCAAAACGGCATTCCAGCCGATACGTCTTCGTCCTCTTTGTCCTTGACATCAATATCCAGAACATATACATCCGATATACAGCCAGTCTTGATTGCGATAAAATTGAACTGTTTTTCGTGTACGTATTCCTTTATTCTCTCTTTCGAAGCATTCCAATCGGAAGCTGACCGTATAGCTGTGCCCCCGTTCGCATGTGGCATAGTTCCGAGTACCCTCTTACCAGACCCATCTTGCCCTAGTAAAGCCTTTGCCGGTATAGCATACAGGCCTTCGTTAGCGTACTCCTTGAATATTTTCAACAGTTCCATCTCCGGCCACTGTGCAATATTTTCTATTCTAGAAAATTTTCTTGGTATTGAAACGCGCCCTAAGCCATCCGAAGTCCACGGCGCGCCTATGAACGCCAACCCTCTCAAGATTTCCAAATGGTTTTCATTGTATGCATGAAGCATCATAACACTTCAACACGACACTCAATCGACAGGTCCACAATCCACAAGCTGCTGGCATCTCAGAGGGAGAGTGGCACAACATGGTTCATTCTCCATATGAGTGCTGGAATGATATGTTGAGATGTTTGTTACACAATCTAAATAGGGTGACTTACGATGCTTAGACAGCAATGTAGATCTTTGCCTCGTGTAAACGTTCCATAGTACGTCTGTTGACTCGAACACCCTTCTCCATTCGTTCAAGAGCTTTCTTGAGCGGTATTCGATCTTTGTTAGAATCATAGTACGCGTGTGCATAGCTCCTGCTTTTGGCTTGTTGTTCCTCCTTATAGTTTGCAGATTCCAAGCATGCTGCACACAAAGTGGAGCCTGAGTGGTCGTGATTGTCGGTCATGGTGCACGGCAACGACATTACCGTTACTTCCAGAGAAAGAAATTGTTTTTGATGAAAAACGCGCACCCGGACATCAAGTGCGGATCAACGTGACCACCGCCGCTCGTAATGATTGAGGGCCGTTGAAAGCGAGTGCCCCATCCATTCACACTTTTTTCGTACCTCCCCTCGGGAACCCAGATCGGGTGTGAGCTCTGTATGCGAAATATGACGGAGCAACGTGCACGATAGATTCTTATCAAAGTGACGTTGACCCAAATCGTTCAGTACAATGGTAAAATTATTGATTGGTTCATCTTTAAAGCCAAGATAGTAATGTTTCATGACCAAGTAGTATCTTGGAAAGAGATTAAAGCTTCGAAGAATGACATTGACTAGATTTTCAGGAATGTGCAATCTCCGTATGCCCACCTTGTTGAGTGTCTTGTGGCTGCTGATAACAAATTGGCAATGCTCAAGATCCTTTGTTAGGATACATGTATTGATGTCACCAGGTTTTGCTTTAAATTCTTCCGTTTCCTCCTTCATGAGGATTCGACAACTCCCAAACTCGTTTCGTAGGGGCCCGAGAGGCATTGTGTACAAGCTTAGGATCAAATGGTCGTTAACGAGTTCTTTATCGCTACGCGTCAATGCACGACCATTTCTAAATTTTTCAACGATTGTTCGTGTAATAATCTGATCAAGGTTGTCTCTTACCTTGATCATTTCTTTCCAAGGCACCCACATTTCAAGCTCCTTTGGTGTCTTGTGTTGCATTGTTTCATCCAGCTCGACCTCGGTAGGCTTTTTTGCTTCAATGAAATCACCGTACGCTCGTTGTGCGTCCTCGAAGCCCTTCTTCTGAGCAAGGATTGAAAATGGTGCCGCATAAGAACTTTTTGTAAGCGATTTGATGGGTTTTCCTTTTCTGTCTAACAAACTTTCGATCGCATTTATCACGGTTCCATAATCTTTTATCCAATCTATAGACACATCGTCATCTAGTTGCTGGTTTGGGTTAAGAATTGTGTATATGTTTAGGATCTGGCGGAGGTATACATTCACGGTAGAGTCGGCCCGTAAAGTTGCCTCTGAACCATCACGACCATCTTTAACCTTGAGGATGCTCCTTAGTTTTGGTAACTGCGATGGCGATGCCTTCCTCTGATTGTGTGGCCCCTCGATGTGAACTACCCGTGTGGCCATCTTTCTTGTAGCTTCGCAGCCGGAGTCCTTCAGCTAAACTTATCGTTAGATTTATTTTTCGGCTAGAAAAGCAAGTCTAGTTAGATGCGTTCAAGATTGAGTGACTTTCCGTTGAAAAGAAGCTTACCGCAGAAATTGCTGTAATTGCTCCCTGACATTGGTGTTAGCGGATCAGACACTGAGGTTATAAAAAAGTCTCGAGGGATGAGCTCTAACGTTCTAGCAAGGTACTTACAAAACATTGTTGGAAGCTCGTACAACTCTTGTTGTTTCAGTAAACAAATCGTGTTATTTGACCGACTTGTCTGGATCAGTGCATCTTCGGTGTCATCGTGCTGGCCTCCACTCCTCTTGAGAATGATAGGTAAATGATAGATCTTCACACCTCGTCTGACGTGCTTTTTTATCAGAAGATGCCATTCAACGAGCAAATGTATCATTATGGTTTTCACATCCTTTCTGTCGAGGTCGTCTGCAACAACGTGTGACAAAGATCGGACCTTTCGAGCAAGCTTGCTACCCAAAAGATCAATGTCTTCACGTGACATCTCGAGTTGTTTCATAGGGTCATGCCCCGATTCAGCGGCTTGTTTCTCACGAAGTTCTTTCAACGGCTGATTATCCTTCTGAAAGGGCTGAAAATAAATCTGATAAGCTTCTGAGTTTCCGAGCTTTTTACAAGCGGCAAGAATAGGGGCCAATCGGGTCCTTCTCGATCCAGGATTTGCATATCGATCATGCACGAGCTGAGTGAAGACGTGTGCGTCTGTTTTCAAAAAGCTTAGATCATCTGTATTGGATAGTTGTCGATCATGGCACAATTGATAGATAAGGGCAATGCCCCTTACGTATTGATCAACGGATGCCTGAGTTCGAATGTTGTCGGTGAACAGCTGACGCAAGGCATCCATACTTATTGATCATATAGTAGAGCTTCGACAATAATTTTCACATGACCAGACGTGCAGACCTATTTATATCAACCGTTGATGTCAAAAAATAATGACAAGGAAAAGTCGCACAACATTTATATCTTGAAAAATGCTATCGGCAGCGGCATTTGTTAGAGAAAAGTGCACTTTTCTCTAATCGATAACTAGTTATTCAAAAGTGCGTTACCACAATCTCATAGCTGCAGCATGTAGCAAAAATCGAGATTTGGTGCGTCAACGAAAGATGACCGTCAAGTATGTTCTATGATTGATCAAGCTCATTGTAAAGGAACAAAAGTGACTGAGGTGAGTGACGAGACAGATAGCAATTTTTTCCTCTTTGCAAGATTGAAAGGCACCTTGTACATTATGGCTTCAGGTATCCGTTCATTCAGAGTCGAATCGGCTTTCTTGGGCACTTGCAAGTCGAATGTCACTGACAAAGTAAGAGATGCTCGATTAGAGATTAATCGTGAAAGCGGTCGTTCGCTTCAAGCAGGGGCAAGAGTGGGATCAATGTTGTATCGAAGCTTGAAGTCAACAGCAACTAGCACGTGCAGCCGAGCACCTCTAGTCTACTACGTCTTGCTTGTTGAGACAACACGCAATTCTGCTGGTAGAATGTTTGCATACCAAATAGATATCAAACTTCTGAAGAAGTCAGAGCAACCAATTGGTCTTGCTTTTACTGGAACATATCGCACATCCACAAGAAAGTTTTCGGTGGATACAATGTTGAATTGGAATTCTAGTGGTGCAACAAAATCAAAACCTTCGTTGAAGACGACTAAGATTGCTCCTCGAAAGCTCGAATGGAAAAAGCGTAAAAACCACGACGATTGCCCAAAAAGATCCGTTGTCTAAACCGAAAAAAGCTTCGTCGACGAAGATTACGCGATAAATATACACCGTCTGATTCAAATAGTACACAAACAACATCCCACAGGATATTCAAAACCGTTTGATTTCGTTGATTCACGCCACCAAACCGCATCTACAATCATCTCTTCTTCTGAAGAGTCGATTTCAGTGTGTTATATTGCTTATGCACACTTTCTGTCGGCGTCACCCCAAGAAGACTACTCTAGGACTGTTGAGCAATACTCCGAATGCAGAAACGGAATGTGATTCTTTTCGAACATTCCTCCATCGTAAATTCCATTCAATAGGGTATACGCATTTCGACGGTCCAATGTCGCAGCTTACCATAGAGCCGCGCTGTTTGAAACCTCAGAAAGAAAGGCACAGTGGTGGTGAGGATTTATTGGGTAAAGCAATCAATCTAGATCGATGCAAAATCTTGTCAGATGGTACATCGGTAGATTGCTACAAGCAGGTTCTACGATTCGGACTCGAAGTGAAGAGTGCAGATATCATTAGTATTGGCTTAGCGCTTCTAGTGCGTCAAACGATGGATCTACAGACAAATGGAACACCTAATACATTCACAGTTAACGATCTTAAGGAACGGCTTACACAGCTGACACTTCCAAACGAACAATATCAAAGGTACACCATCATCATCAAAGATGCAGTGGTTTATGATCACGAGATTGAAGTGCTGCTAAGGCATGCAATGAGACATCTACTCCTCGAACCGGATGGTTCCATTGACAGTCATTCCGCAAGCCTACCAAAGGCAAATCTTGAAGTACAGCAGTAGTTCGTACAATCTTGAGTGTACATTTGCGGTGCAATAGCATTGTTAAGATCAATCGTCTATGCCGTGACGAGTTCCCCAAACTTCAATGGGACCCTCTCTACAAAATCTCTCATCTTGGTGTCTATTCTAGTTGCTAACCCTGGAGCTGCCATCACCTGCAGCTTTAGCAACTGAGCCATGTGCTTGACTCCGAGCGTGCCCCGCGGATCGTACTCTACTTGCCACCCCCCGTAAATGCGCGCCCGCTTCTTGGTAACCGGATCCACCAACGTTTCCCGGCCTGCCTGAGAGAGCGAGATTCGAAGCCCTATCTTTTTGAAGATGTGGTTCAAAGCGTGCGTTACCCCTTTCCGGTCCCTGAGGTCGACCACTGCGCGCTTAGCTCGGGTATTGAACAGACGTACACAGCTGTCGTACTCTTTGAAATACTTCGTAACCAAGAGCTTCGGTGCCAATGTCTCGAGAGGCTCTGAGATGTGCTCATGGTCGAGCGGATGCGCCAGACCTAGCGTGGAGAGAATCTCTCTCGTGATCTGGACCTCGACTGGTCGATAGCTAGCCCTTCCTATCTCCGTGATGTCCCACTGATGGAAAGGATCGATCACTTGCAGCAGAAACGTGAGAGACTCTAAGGGCTTTGCACCATACACGTCGAGGAACTCCTCGTTAAGGCGACGGATCTTGTAGAAGCGGATAAGTTTGAACCTGTCCATCTTTGCAACATCACCGTCCTGATGCGCCCGCTTCTGAACCAACCGCTCAATCCGTTGAAATTCTTGGCTCGAGATGTCGGTTGCTTCGAGCAACCGTTGCTTCAGAAAGCCCGTCGGACGCGTCTCCTCCTGCGTGCCATCGCCAACCTTCTCGGTCTCGTCGAACCGCAGCTGTAACAATCCTCTCACGATATGACCCTCACTCTTGAGCAGCTCTGTGAACGCTTCATAGAAGTGTGTTTGACCGTTGGTGGTTTCAGCGTCATTGTGTGCGAGCAACTTTGCAATTGGATCTTCAGGTGGGACGTACTCGAGCAGACCCCCCTCCCCCCTCCGCATGACTCGGGGAAAACAACGCCTTGCCTCGTCGCTGGCCCAACGATTAAACTGGTAGACCTCCTCTACGCTCTCCCGTCGAGTGCTGGTTATCCGCTTGTGCCCCATATGAGTCAGAAAGGAAGGGGGCTTAGGAGTCTCTGTAGAGAACGTATGATCAAGGTCATGGCTCGATTGAAGCACTATGAGGACGCAGCTC